ATTGTGGGGTTTGTCAAGTCCCGGTGTGGAGCCTGTTCCTGTGTTACACACGTTGGCTGCATGATCATCACTCCTTCAGCAACCCCTTGGTCCCTGTCCCCAGGTCCTGCACCCGCCACGAGAGACTGTGCTCCTCTAAGGTGTGACTCGGGGATGACCAGGGTCCGTGCAGGTGAGAAGGGCCGTGACAGAGGCCTGGTCAAGGACTGGCTGTGAGCCCACGTTCCAAGAAGCAGGAGTGTGGAGAGAACATGAACACAGGAGGTGCCACGGAGCCGGGCGTTGATGGGTGAATAGGAGTTTTCCTGCCAGCAGGTGGCAGAGAGGGACTTGCAGGCAGAAGACTCGGTGATCGCTCTTCTCTCTCTGGCGTCTGCAGGTGAGCAGGGATGCCAGTGCTGAGGCCTCCGACAGTGCGCTGCTTTAGCTTTGTCCCACGAGACGTAACGTGTGGTTATCTATCTTCTTTCAGTTCAAAATACTGCCTGATTTCCCCTGTGGTACACGGGTTGTTTAGTTTACAAACTTGGGTGGTAATGTGGCATTTTACTCTGACACTGGGAATAGGGACAACTCCTGGCTGCGTGGGCAGTAACCGGCTTGTTTCTGGAATTCTTTCAAGCCTCCAGCAGCTTCATCCCACATGTTGGCTGGTCTGCACTCACCTGAGACTCCCCGGGGGGCTGTGGAATAAGCCCTCTTCTGGGCAGCTCCGTGCTCCCGTGGCCCGCCTGCCACACCAGCCTGGTGGCCTCTCACACTCCCCGCGGAGTCTCCCCGGCTACACAAACAGCAACAAGCAGCCCTGGGCGCTCCCTGTGGGTGGGTGTGGAGCAACCAGCCCCCCAGGGGACAGCGGAGCCACCCCCAGCCGCAGAGCGCCTGCCCCCTCGGGTCTCGGCTACCCCTGCTGTCCCTCCCTTCCTGGCGTTTACTGTTCTGATGATGTAAGGTGGTGTCTCATTGCCATCTGCTTGTCTTGTTCTGGGCGAGTCCGCGTGCCCTTCATGTGTGTGTCAAGCTTGCGCTTCCCGTCTCGGAATTGCCCGTTTATGACATCTGTTCATCCCTCTGCCTGGCTTCCCTTTTCCTTGAGATTCACGGGAGGTGCTGATATATTCAGCCACTTGTTGTGTTAGACACCGTGACTGTCTCACCCTTCACCCGCCTATTACCTTCGTCTCTAACGCAGCAGCAACAGCATGTCCGCCATCGGGTTGCTGGGAATTAAATGAGATGATATGTACAAAACACTCCGCAGTGTTACTTATCATTATTACCCAAGGATCCCGAGTACTAGACACGCAGAAAACCTGTCTGGGCCCCTTGGTACACTGAACACTGGGACCTATGTGAACACTGGACCTACGTTCCCCCTTAGGAGTTAAAACCCGGTCATGGAAAGGGCAAGGAGCGTGGGGCACCCATGACACCGTGGAAATGGACTGGATGCAGCGAGGACTCCACACTCAGGCGACACATGGGGGTGAGTTCTCAATCTGGGCACCGGGCTGCAGAGAATGTTTAAGTGAAAGCATCCTTCACAGTCTACACTTAAGACAGAAACACATCTGGCTGGACCCCTGGCCTCCAGCACTGTCCCTGTCCCTTCCTGACTGTCCTTCCAAAGATGTCTTCGCTGCCCCGCTCGGTGGCCACACTGCTCCGCTCCTTAAAGCCCCGTGATGGTGGCTCATTATTTCACCTTGTGATGGCTTCTAACGGCCACTCTGGGTATGAAGGCCCCTTCTCGGGCCCACCTAAGTCTCATTTCTTCATCAGTCCCTCTGCCTTTCTCAGGGATATCTGCTCAGAGCCCTGGCTGTCAGGCTGTCGTCTGCTGAACACCTTCCTGTCATGTTTGCTCCCTGGCATCAGGGTTCTCGTCCAACACCTCATCTCCTGCTCAGACCCTCCCGATGGGTCAGAGGAGAGGCGACAGCTTTTCACGACTTTGTCCTTTCCAAAGATAGCACCGATGTGGAGTTCATCGAATGTTCACTGGATCAACTCCATCAGGAATTGCCTTTTGGTGTGGTGTAAGGTGGGGGTGCCACCCGTTTTCCTATCAGGACAGACGGTTGTTTCAGTCCATTGAATGAAAGCATTTCCTTTCCCAACTGCACCCGCGGCAGCGCTCTCCTCAGCCTCAGCACTTTGTCCCGCTGGTGACTTGTCTATTCCCCTGTCAGTGTCGCAGTCTCAATGACTAGTTTTGTTGTTGTTGCTAATTCTCACCTGAGGATATTTTTTTCCATTGATGTTTTAGAAAGAGTGGAAGGGAGGGACGGGCGTTGAGAGAGAGGGAAACGTGGATGTCACAGACACACATCGGTTGGTTGCCTCCTGCACTCGTTCTAACCAGGGCCAGGAATCTAACCTGTGACCCCCTGGTCCAAGGGAAGATGCTCTAACCACTGAGCCGCAGCCAGGGCTATTGCTGATATTTAGATGCACATGTAGGACAGTCTCCGTCTGTCCTCCCAGTTCCACTCCCCACCTTTCTGTGCCCCAGGGAGCTGATGTCTCCCCGCAGGCCTGCGTTTGGCCATGGCCTCATCCCTCTGCAGGGGCCACACTCCCCGGGGTGTGTCATACCTCTGTCAGACCACCAGGAACGGGTCTGTAACTCACCAGAGTGGGATTATTGCTGCAGCTCAGGAGCACACCGGGGAAGCACGGGGTGACTTAGTCAGAGGGTGTTACAAAGGACTCATTATAGAACCTGAGCTTTGGTTGGTGATGATGGGGAAGGTTAAGGAACCGGGGTTCTGCTGTCAGAAGCAGCAGTAATTCTATAACTAGGCTTCTTCTTTTATTTTATCCTCACCAGAGGACATTCTTCCATTTTTTTGTTCAGGTAGAGTGGGAGGGAGAGAGAGGAAGAGAGAGAGAGAAACATCGACGTGAAAGGGACACATCGGGTGGCTGCCACCCGCACGACCAACCAGGGCTGGGGACAAACTGCAACCGAGGTACGTGCCCTTAGCGGGAACCGAACTCGGGAATAGACAAGTCACCAGCGGGACAAAGTGCTGAGGCTGAGGAGAGCGCTGCCGCGGGTGCAGTTGGGAAAGGAAAAACCGAACTCGGGCCTCTCTGGACCACAGGCTGACGCTCTAACCGCTGAGCAAAACCGGCCAGGGCTACAGTTAGGCTTCTTAATTCTTATCTAGGAGGGAAGACTAGGGGCAGGTTTGCCCTGTAACTGGTAAGCAGCGGCAGTCATACCAGCCGGAAAGGGAGATGATGTCATTCGGCGTGGATGGTGTCATGTTTTGCCTGTGTTCACACATGAGGACAGAGCCACTGTGGCTTCGTGCCGCTGCATCGGGGCCTGGGTGGCCTTGTCTGAGCTCGGTGTTCTGTGAAACTCTTATGTTCCACAGCAGAGCAGCAGGCCCAGCGGAAGGGAGGCCGCTTCCCTTCCTTCTCTGATGGAGACTTGGCAGGAATACCCTACCCCAGCAGCCGGGCAGACCCAGCCGAGGTGCCTGGCGGAGAATAAGGGGGCCATGACGCGAGTGATGGAAGCAGCAGCCATGATGAGCTTAGGCCTCATCACAGACGCACGGGTGGGGAAGTCGCAGCCGCACTTTCTGTGTATGTTGGTCATCTCCCAACAAGGCGCTGTGGCAGGTAAGGCTTCACCCTGCTGCAGGTGGCAGTGAGGCTTGGATGACGTCCCCTGTGAAGGTAAGGTGGTGGCCGCTGCTGTTTCTCCTACAGCGGAGCACCCATCTTCCCAGTCCACACTCCTCTCTCCTTCAGCTTGACTCCTCGCTTTACACGGTTCAATGTAAGTGCTCCTCCTCCCAGGTGAATTCGGGGTAAATCAAGGGCCTGGGGTAACAGCTGGCCTAGTGCTGTCTGCCTATTTATTCTCCAACCCTTCAACGGCCACGTCCTCCTTCTCTGGGGAGGCTCGCCGGCGTGGTCTGCGGGAGACTGTCCATCGCTGGCTGAGATCAGGACCCTCTGCACTGCGTGACTCCAAAGTGGAGAGTTTCCCCAGAGTCACTGGTGCTGCCCCTGGCCCAGCTTAGCGGTTCGCTGCCGGTGACCAGCGGTGCTCGGCGGGGCTGGGGCTCCCGCGTCCGGAGTGGTGGTTGGCGGCCCCAGGCCCAGGCCACGGCTCCCGGCCAGCGGATCCTCCTTCCCGGGGCTTCCGGGCAAGGCCACCCTCAGTCCGAGGGCTGTTGGTACCTAACCGGGTTCACGGCCCGAAGCTCCTGGGGCCGACCCCAGGACCCGGCGTTTTGGGAGAGGGCGGGGTGCTCAGGGCCGAGCAGGCGGGTTGGGGGCTGGGAGGGGCGCTCAGGCGTCGCGGTCAGGGCTGCGGAAGCGCGGCGGGCGCGCTCACGGGGTACCGTGGCCCCAGATGGGCACCGGCTTCAGCACAGGCCCCCCGGCGGCGCACCTGCTCCACCGGAGCCGCCGACTTCAAGTTCCCCTCCGGGAGGGACCGGCCGACTTGGGCCTGTGGGTCCCGCTAGAGGTCAAAGGTCGCTCCCGGGCGCCGCTTCCGGCGCGTGACTTGAGGTTTTTGGTTCTTGTCTACGCAAAGCAACTCAGCGTCGTCACGCAGCCCCGGGCCGTGCTGAGCTGGTTCTGCGGTTCCGGCCCCGCCCCGCGGTGCAACGGGGGCGCCGGGGGGGGAGGGGCACCGCGGGTCCCCGCCTCCTGAGCAGCTCGGGGCTCCCCAGCCAGGGCGCGGGGTCCGCTAGACCCCAGGGCCGTGCGGCCGCTGGGATGACGCCGCGGGCGGGGGGAGGGGGGAATGGGTGAGAGAGCGACTGCGCAGGCGCCAGCCGGGGGCGCGCGTACGTGCGTGCGCGGCGCCGGAAAAGAAGGGGCGTGGCTACGCCGCGCCTGCGCAGTGCAGGGCGCGGGGGCGGGGCGGCCGTCAGCTGACTGTGGCGGCAGCGGCCTCGCGGGGACGACCGTTGGCGGCGTCGCAGGCTCCGGAGAGAGGGTCGCCGGCGTGTCAGTTCTCGGCGGGCGCGGCGCGGGCGGCGGAGCGGCATGGCGACCACCGTCAGCACGCAGCGCGGGCCGGTGAGGCTCCGGCGGGCGGGTCTGCGAATGCGGGAGGCCGCGCGCGATGGCCCGGGGTGGAGGGCGGCCCGCGGCCCGGTACCGGGGGCCCGGAGCCCGGCCTGTGCCCGGAAGGGAGAGCCCCGCGGCCCGGTACCGGATGGGAGAGCCCCGCGGCCCGGTACCGGGGGCCCGGAGCCCGGCCTGTGCCCGGAAGGGAGAGCCCCGCGGCCCGGTAGCGGGGAGCCTGGAGCCCGGCCTGTGCCCGGATGGGAGACCCCGCGGCCCGGTACCGGGGAGCCCGGAGCCCGGCCTGTGCCCGGATGGGAGACCCCGCGGCCCGGTACCGAATGGGAGAGCCCCGCGGCCCGGTACCGGGAGCCCGGAGCCCGGCCTGTGCCCGGATGGGAGAGCCCCGCGGCCCGGTACCGGATGGGAGAGCCCCGCGGCCCGGTACCGAATGGGAGAGCCCCGCGGCCCGGTACCGGGAGCCCGGAGCCCGGCCTGTGCCCGGAAGGGAGAGCCCCGCGGCCCGGTACCGAATGGGAGAGCCCCGCGGCCCGGTACCGGGAGCCTAGAGCCCCGCGGCCCGGTACCGGATGGGAGAGCCCCGAGGCCCGGTACCGGATGGGAGAGCCCCACGGCCCGGTACCGGGAGCCTGGAGCCCGGCCTGTGTCCGGAAGGGAGAGCCCCGCGGCCCGGTACCGAATGGGAGAGCCCCGCGGCCCGGTACCGGATGGGAGAGCCCCGAGGCCCGGTACCGGATGGGAGAGCCCCGCGGCCCGGTACCGGGAGCCTGGAGCCCGGCCTGTGCCCGGAAGGGAGAGCCCCGCGGCCCGGTACCGAATGGGAGAGCCCCGCGGCCCGGTACCGGGAGCCCGGAGCCCGGCCTGTGCCCGGAAGGGAGAGCCCCGCGGCCCGGTACCGGATGGGAGAGCCCCGAGGCCCGGTACCGGATGGGAGAGCCCCACGGCCCGGTACCGGATGGGAGGGACCCCACGCGCGCCGCCGCCCTCCCTTCCCGGGCAGAGCCGGGCTCGCAGGGCCACTGTCACGGGCCGGGAAGCCCCGAACGCGCAGCCACTTGGACGTGGCCCGGGCACGCGAACCGCGTGGGCACCGTCTCGCTCCCCCCTCTGGCTGGGGAGGAGCCCTCCCCGCGGGGTCCCCGGGGCACAGCCTCCCTGGGGGGCTGTGCGTGGCCCCGACGCGCAGTCCCGTGTTTCTCGTGGGAACAGCCCGTGGCGGGCCGGGTTGGGACCCCCGCTGCGCCGCACCTGCCTCCCTCTTCCCCCGGTGACGCAGCGGGGTGGCCGCCCTGGCACCAGACGGGCGGGTCGGAGCCCGAACCTGGGCTTGCTGCCCTCCCCGCGGGCGCCTTCCTGGGGGGCTTCAGCTCGGCTGACCCTGGAGCGGGCCGGGTGTCAATGTGCAGACGCGTGGAGCCTGCGCGTCGGGGTCCCCGGTGCATCTCTGACTTCCCGGGCTCTGGGGGCCGCCCCGCGCTCTGTCCGTGTGTCACCAGCACGCCTGCCGGGGTGCTCTGTGCGACCCGTGCCCGTGCAGTGACGGTCGGGCTGGGCAGAGCTGCTGGGGTGCAGGCAGTGCCCTCGCCTGGGTGGCAGGTGGGACTCCCTCAGCCAATGTGCCTGGGCACGACGCTAGGGCAGCACTGGGCAGTGTCTGCTGCGGGCCTCCGGTGTGCACTGGACCACACAAGCGGCCTGCGGGTCTTCTCCCAGTTAGGTGGGAAGCGGGCTGCCTGCCCTGGGCCGGGGTTGGAGGGAGTCAGGTTGGGAGGAACCTGACGCTTGAGAGACGAGCAGAGGTTGCTTGAGGTGGGTGTGCAGGCTGCGGGGAGGCCAGGAGAGGTGCTGGTGCTGAGTGAGGACAGGCATGGCCAGAGCGCCCTTCCAGATGGGGCTGTGGCAGCCGATGGATGTGGCCCTTGAGTTTTATCTGGTGACTACAGTGTCAGTTTTTAAGAAACATTTTTGCCTGGCGCGCACACTGTAGTTTCCACCCCTCCTGCCCAACCCACGCCCTCTGGGTCAACCAGTACTCGAAGGACCTTTTGCCAGTTAGCAGAGCCGGGCGGAAGACTTCTCCGTTAGCCAGGGTGCAGTGACTTGTGCACTGGGTGCCGAGGAGGCAGGGGCAGCCGGGGCACTTGGCCTGCCCCCAGAAAGAAGCTGTGATGCCAGCTAGTGCTGGTGGAGGCGGCATTTGGCAAGTGATCGCTGCGCTAGGTCCCGGCTGGGCAGCAAGGAGGTTCAGCCGAGGCCCAGGGAGCCCAGAGCCTGGACTCACTCACTTGGGACTGACTGTGAAGTCTGACTACTGCCTCCTGCCCCCGCAGTAGAGGAGTGACGGGCAGGTCCCTGGCGTGTGAAGGAGGGCGGGGAGTTGGTAGGTCTAGAGGGCCTCCTTTGCGGTTGCCTGGGGTCCCCAGGGGCCGGAGGAGACGGGTGTGGGAATCAGTGAAGCACCTCGATTCTGCTCCATCCCAGCAGCAGAGCCGAGGTGGCTTGTCCCTTACGTTCCAGGAGACGTGCTGCTTAGCCCCTGAGCAGTCAGAGGGTGTCCCAGCTCCATGCTGTTTGCCCCGATTCTAACAGTGCTAGTATTTTTGTGGCGACAACCCTTTTTCTGTCCAGTGTTTCTGTCTAGTTCACAGACTGTCAAGAGCACCCGCCAGGCACCCGCCAGGAGTAAGACTGTGGAGGCCCTGCCTTCCGCCAGAGCTCGGAAGGAGTGCGGGCCACGCTGCTGTGGACCCCAGAGCTGCCCGTCAGCTTGAGGGGCGCTGCCCAGGCTCCGTCAGGGCAGCGTCAGCTCTTGGCAAGCCTCCCGTGAAGTCCAAGCTGATAAGGGCCCAGGGTCAACCTGTATCGTCAGAGATACACACGCATCTTTAAACAAGTTTTGTGCTTTTGTTTGTCCTATTTTTTCTTTCTTTCTCTGCCCCGTTTTGAATTGAGTACATACAGGTTTTTAAAATTCACTCTTTTGTTCTTTGCTGGCTTGGAGAATATATACATTATTACATTTTTGTTCTCTTTATGATTATTCTAAAAATTTAACATGAAGACATATCAGGATCTAGGGTCAACCATTATGTTTCTCTCCTGGTTGTACGCTACTTCCGGCGACCTCGTCCCCGGTCTGTCAGGTGTGATCAGCCGTCCTAAGAGGTGTGCCTTGTGTGAGCCAGTGTGTGTCCGGGGTGCGCACCGCTTGTGCCTCCTGCTGCCCAGCCCTCCTTCGGACCACCCTTGCTTCCAGCTATCCTTCAGAGTGTCCTCAGGGGCAGACTCTTGGTGCTGTTTGACGGTTGTCAGGCCGGGCTCTCGAAAGGCCTCTGCTGTGTTTGGCATTCTGGGTGCACAGTCCCCTCTCCGCAGTGCATGACCTTCCTCTGCTCTCTCTTCTGGGCCCACGCTGTGAGAAGTCAGGGTCCACCTCCCGGCTCTGCCGCAGCGAACAGCCTCTTCCGGTGGGCACTGCTCTGCTCTGTCCTAAACCCACCCGGGAGCTGAGTGTGAACTGGGTGCTGGCAGTCAGCTCTCCAGCTGGTCGCTTGCCCGCTCTGCCTCTTTGTCCTTGTGTGCAAACTGCTCTCACCGACAGACTGACCCTGCACACAGTGCTTGCCCTGGCCGGGCCTGTGGGGAGAACCCCAGCCTTTGAGCTGCTGGGTCCCTGAGTCACTTTCCATTTCTCAAGCAACACGGCTGTTCCTTGTGGCCGTCCTGTCTCAAGTTTTGTGCACACTGTTTACCACCCCCCATGCCTCTTCCCGGTTCCTTCTGTTTCCACACCTGCTGGATGGTGGGAGCTAGGGCAGTTGGTTGTGCAGGACTGGGGCCGCATCAGCTGCGGCCACCAGGCCCCGGGAGGCCTGAAAGCTGCCTGCACTTTGAGGGACTGAGGGTGGTGACTGCAGGTGGTGGGCCAGTGCACGAGGCAGGCGACACAGCAGCAGCTTGTCGTGTTTGGAGACTCCTCCGGTGAGACCGGCCGCCTGTGGGCTTGGTGACAGTGGCTTCCCTGCTGTGAGTCACGGTCTTCACTTGGGCTTCTTGCCACAGCTCCTGCAGCTCCTCGCCTCTCTGTCCTCACTCTCGGGGTCTCAGGGCTACAGCACCCCCGTTCCCCATCTGGCCCCCTTCCTGAACAGGTCCATGTGCTCTGCCGCGCCCTGTTGTCTTTCTGGAGTGGTTTGGACACCTGGATCAGAACAGCTCCTTCCTTCCCCTGGACCTCCCCACTGTGCGTGGGTGTGGTCCCCCTCCCCCCATTTAATGGCAGCTCCATCCTGTACGTTGCTCAGGCCAAAACCTGGGGAAGCCTTTGCTGCCTCTCGACCCCTGGGGAAGTCCTGCAGGCTCTGCCCGCTGAGCAGGTCTAACCACCGGCTCTGTCCCAGCCTCTGCCCCACCCACACGCTCACACTGCAAGGCTGGTCCACCTGCTGCCACACCCTGCAGTCAGGTGCCAGGCACATCCCTGTCTCAGCCTCTGTGGCCCTTGGTCCTCTGGCCTCTTGATCGCCCTTCACTGTCTGTCTCAGCCACGTCCCTGCTGTCCCTCAACCTGCCAGACAGGCTCCTGGTTAGGCCTGTGCACCGGAGTTCCCTCCCCCTCACTGCTCCTCCCCTGTATGTGCATGACTGATGCTCCACGCAGCTCGGGTCATTGCTCAGAGGGTGCTTTCCCCGTGGCCTGCCCCACCACGTCCCGGCTGCGCTTCTCCACACCCGCGCACTGGCAGATGGGCGCCAGGAGAGCAGCGACGGCTCCCGGCAGGGTGGTCTGACTCTCACACACGCACATGGAAGGCCTTGGTCGCCCGTGCCCACCGCTTGGCCTGTGCCCCCAGCACTGTGCCCAGCCTGCTGCACCGGCATCTGTCCGGCCCTGAATACACCCGGTAGCCTCTGGCTGGCTGGTTTTGTGTCACTCGAATGAGGGTAGGACATTCCTTCTCAGGCTCACGCACAGGGACGAGAGGCTGTGG